CAATGAAGAACTCTCAAGGGATCTAGTGAATAAACTAAAACCCTGTATCAGCTTCCTGACTAACTGCTGTCCCCTGTCAGCGAGCATGTATAACGCCATCAAGTTCCTTAACAAGGAGATCATGGGTGTGAGTAGCTCCAAGCGGAAAGAGGAGGCCAAGTCAGAACTTGGAAAAGTCATTGATCTGTATGTGCACAAGAAGATTCTCCTTGCAGCTCAGGCAATTTCACGCTTTGCTTACAATAAGATCAGTAATGGAGATGTGATCCTGGTGTATGGGTGCTCAACTCTCGTGTCACAAATTCTTCAGGAAGCCTGGGCTGAGGGCCAGCGGTTTCGGGTAGTAGCGGATAGCCAGCCACAGCTGGAGGGAAGGCACACACTGCATTATCTGGTCCATGCTGGGGTCCCTGCCTCCTATCTGCTGATTTCTGCAGCTTCCTATGTGCCCCCAAAGGTTTCTAAGGTGCTATTGGGAGCTCATGCACTCCTGGCCAATAGGTCTGTGATGTCACAGGTAGGGACAGCACAGCTGGCCCGGGTGGCTCGAGCCCATAATGTTCCAGTGCTGTTCTACTGTGAAACATACAACAAGTTCTGTGAGCTTGTGCAGACTGATGCCTTTGTCTCTAATGAGCAAGATGATCCTGATGATCTGCTGTGTGAACGGGGAGAACCTGTGGCCCTGGCTAACTGGCAGAACTACCCATCCCTACGGTTGTTGAATCTGGTCTACGATGTGACCCCCGCAGAGCTTGTGGATCTGGTGATCACAGAGCTGGGGATGATTCCTTGCAGTTCTGTACCTGTTGTCCTTCGAGTCAAGAGCAGTGACCAGTGATGGGGAAGGAGGAGTAGGGTCAATAAAAGACATCTCCCTACACTCAAAAAAAAAAAAATAGAGTTGACCATGATGACAGGAATTTTAAAAAGCTTTTGAGATCACGTAACTTAAAATGAGGAGAAATCGCTGCAAACATCCATTAATAGTCAGAAAGTGTAATGTATGATGTGTGAATCTAGGAAAATTGGATGTTATCAAAAATGAAAAGGAACAGACAAAGCTAGATAGCTTAGGGTTTAACAAGCTGAAATGGATATTGACCATTTTGAATCCAATAATCATACAGTTTACTATGTTGGTAACCAAAAATTGAAGAGGAATTGTCTCAAAATCATTGTCAAAAACAACCTATCAAGATCTATCTTGAAACACAAGGCTATCTGTGATAGGATAATATCCACACACCTGTTAATATTATCTACATTTATGCCACAAACAACAAGCCAATGAGGATGAAATTGAAAGAATTCTACCAACTTCTTCAGTCTGAAGCTGATTAACAATGGAATCAAGATGTATTGGTAAATACTCAGGGATTAGAATATGAACGTTGGAAACAAAGAGGAAAGATCTGTAGATGGAAAATACAACCTTACAGATAGAAATGATGCTAGAGATCCTATGATAGAATTTTGCAAATCAAACAACTTATTCATTGCAAATATATTTTTTATAGTGAATTGAGTGATAGTTTATATGGGATAACATTGGTTTTACACTCAGCGCTTCATTGCAATGATTACAGCTAATACCCTTTTAAAGCAACACAAACGATGACTATACACATGGGCCCCACCAGATGGAATACACAGGAATCAAACTGACTACATCTGTAAGAAGAGACATATCAGCCCTTCCACTCCCAGACAGTGTAACCATTATCATCCACCAAAACAAGGCCAAGGACAGACTGTGGAACATACTATCAATTGCTCATATGCAAGTTTAAACTGAAAATGGAGAATATTAAAACAGCTCCATGAGAGCCAAAATATGACCTTGAATATATTCCACCTGAATTTAGTGACCGTCTCAGAACAGATTTGATGCATGAGACACTAATGACCAAAGACAAGAAGATGACATCAAGAGCATCTTACAGAGCAAAAGCAAAATCTCACTGAAGAGACAGAAAAGACAGTAAAAACCAACATGGATGTCGGAAGAGACTCTTAAACTTGCTGTTGAGCATGGAGAAACTAAAGCAAAAGGAAGAAATGAGGAATGATAAGGGTTGGAGAGGATGGTCTTGAGAAATGATTCTCTCTGTCCTCCAGACTGCTGGCTTTCTGCTAATAAAGCTTGGATTGATCTCTCCCTATTTCTGTGATTGACTACAGTGACAGGCAGCAAACCACGAGCAAAGGGACCTCGTCTCCTTTGTGGGTGATATTATTTGCTGAAAGGCCCACTGGCCACCCGGACAGATGAGCCCAAGAGCACAGTAACCGAACACTCCAAGCAGCGCTGCCAAGACTCTTGTTCTTGGGAGTCTTTCATCCTGTATCTCCTGCACTCACTTCACTTTTCAGAGCCCCGTGTTTTATTCTGGGTCTGCACACTGG